AGTTTTGGACATCAATTTTGGAGTATATCTTTGCAGTAGCGATTGACCGCAAAGTAAAGCTACCGGAAATGTACAACCCCACATCCGGTCTCAAACCAGGAAGATAGCATTTTCTCGTGCACAGGGTCAATTGTTTAATTGTTCTGGAATTATTTATTAAAAGTGCTTTTCTTTTTGTTTTTTTACCCTCTATTGCAAAAATCATCCTGCTTGTTATGACATTCTCTGTAGACCAGCCCATGTGGACAAGGCACATCTGAAAAGTGATGGAGGACACTAAAGTTAATAATACAAGTATTATTTTCAGGAAGAACTTGAGAAACACTGGTCTATTAGACAACTAGAGTTAAGCTGATTCACCAAGATTGTAAGTGTAAGAGATAAAAGTTGCATACCACATGATCCATTAGTCAGTCCTCTCCAGTCAATACAGAAACCTGCATTTTTACATTCTTCAGCAGCTTGTGCCAAAATATTACAAGAACCATTAGGATTCAGGCAGGAATCAAAGTGGCAGTTCTTCTTTTTAAGTTTTAGATCCACATGCTTGCTGCAAGTGTCAAAAACGCTGAGAAAAAATACATTACACCCGTGTTTCATTAAAATATGCCGAGATAAGGCAGCTAAAATTACACATTATTAACATCAAGCCAACAACAAAGAGAACATGCTACAGCTAACTACAGGAAAAGCATCATTCTGTTTCCTGTCTCAGATTTACGCCTTAAACATGTATCAGTGAGCAGTACGTATTCCAGCACAATCCACTGGCCAGTAGTATGTTAGCGAAGTGCAACTTACGGGTGGAGTAGAAGTTCACATAATGGGCTCAGAGGGCAGGGGGGAACAGGTGGCGTAGGCGGTGCTGAAGTTGGCCCAAGAAGACAGGGTACATCATTTGGTGCAGGATTACAGGCAGGCTTCAGAGGATCTGGATACACCCAGTCATAGGCCGTCTTATCACAGCATCCATCATCCTCAATCTGCCCTCCTTTGCGAATACATGATGCTCCACCACACACACCTGGAGGGAGAATTGAGAAAAGTGCAGATAAAAGACACACACACACACACACACAGCTTTCTATCTAGTACCCACCACATTGTCCCTGAGTGTTGTTGAAGAAGTGCTCCATGGCCAGATTGACCACCAGGTTATGAGACGGGCTGATGGAGACATAAGAACGGATCTTTGGGAGATGAACTGACACCATGTACCCCGTGGTCTCAAATCTTAACCCATGCTCTTCATATGGTGGTTGTATCGTCACATTGTTCAGAGAGGCCTAAGG